TTCGCCGAATGCTGGGTCATGACACTCAGTTATCTGTGGGAGTTATCTGCTTGATGCGTCCCCTCCCTCATCTTACACAGCTGCCAGTCTCTCTCACACACACGCACGCACGCACGCACGCACGCACGCACGCACGCACACACACACACACACACACACACACACACACACACACACANCACACACACACACACACACACACACACACACACACACACACACACACACACACACACACACCATCTCCCTGTTCACTCCTTAGACGTGTGCCAAATAAACATCATTAAAAGCAGGCAGCGGTTGCCCCCATGCGACACCCACCATGCATGTCGGGTAAACACCACAACAGCTCATTAGCATCCAAAGTCATCAGATTACAGTGTGTGTGTGTGTGTGTGTGTGTGGGCAGATTTACTTTAAGTGCAGTGGGTGGTAGTGAGAAGAGAAATAGTTTTACAGGTTCATGTGTGTGTGCTCATGACACTACATGCATGATCACCTCCATTTATGTGGCTTCAAGCGGGGGGGGGGGAGTTCATTGTGCAATAAGCAAAACTGGTGTTAAAATATTCATGAGCGGGCTCCTCAGCAGGTTTAGTCGGGTCGAGCTCATTTAAACGGCAGCGCGAGCAAAAACAGAGACAGCTGGAGAGTTAGGGTCAGTGATTTGAAACCCTTCGCAGCGGTGATGCAAATGTTGAGATGACAACATCTGCAGGAATTCAAAAAGTCTTTAATGCCTTTAAAGCTTTGCATATATTTGCAAGAACATTTTCTGTTTGTCAGAGAAAAAGATTAAAAGTTAAGTTTGGCCTTATTCTTAATATTTCTCAGTCTTAATGCAGTGAAAACACCAAACCTCCAGAAATGATGCCACAGTAACCTGGCTACGAACGCTGCCATCTTACACTGGTGACATCATCTGGAGCCAGTCTGCGCAGTGTCGAAAAAAAAAACACCAGGGGGGATAAGAACATGGAGGCTGGGTTTATGACCTCGACTGCAGCCAAGTATGAGCTCATGTATACTCAACGTTCTGAAAGCTTACAACTATGGACAAAACTGACAAAATGTAGTTGTACTATCGGATATCGTGGGGGGGGGCTGTAGTCGATAGTTCAAGTCAGACGAAAATAAAACATGAGGTAGACGACTGGGTTGCTAAAAAAGATCAGCTGTGTGATGTTAATTCGTCTGCACACAGGGACAAACGTCGGATTTTGCCTCTTTCTTAAGAGACGTATTATCACAACATCCTCCACCGTTAACATGTGTGCTGTACTCCTCACTCTGCACTGTCCTCTGGTGGACGTATTGCATAACGACCACACCAACAAGGACGCATGGAAACATGTGGGCAGTGACGGTTACATCACTTGATGAGAACGCTTCTCTTTTGGTTTCAGAAAAACAGCACAAACGAGCCTCGAGAAAACCTCCTCTGCAGCGTGTTCGCTAATAATATGGCTGAAGGCCCACATTAAAGTGAAGCCGGAAAAATCCAGCCCATTAAAAAAGACGGGAGAGATGTAGTTACACAGTGTGTCAGGCTTCCAGTGCAAGACGAGAATTAACAGACAAACACAGTTTAACTCAACAGCTGAGCAGAGCAAACAAAAAGAGCCTCATTAAACAGGGATTCAGACACAGGCGGCGGGAAGGATTCACGAGCGCAAACAAACCCCAGCAGAACGAGCCGAGCATTAGGTGATGATTGTGTCATCGGCACGCGTCTGACTTATTAGATCTGATGCATTAATACATTTTTGCTGCCCAAAACTGCAGTTACACAACTCTGTAGCAACAGCAGAAGTTGCCGCACAGCACAGCGACTTCCCGCTTCTCCACTTTCAGTCTTCATTTTACAGCAAACAGCTGGAGGCCTCTGGGAAGGTCGTGAGTGTTTCTGTGTGTGAGAGAGAGAGTCGTGAGAGAAGGTTTCAGACCTAATTGGCACCAACGTGTCAAAAGTTCCTGTGAACCAAGCTGCCATCCCTGTACGTTGCGGAGCATGAATGCAAATAAGTGAGCCAACCCCAGAGTGACTTTCAGCATCTGAGCGCTGCAGGCAGTTTATTAAAATGAACAACAAAAGAGACTGACTGGTACACAAACTAAAATTCAGTTGTCACTTGCCGTCCCTAAAATCTCTCAAAAGTATAGAGTTTGGGCTGCAGGATCATTTGTGAGAAACGTGTGAAAACGCAAAGGCCTAGATTGTTTTGCACGTTCATGTCTCATCAATACATGTCACTGACTTGACTTCTTCCCAGGAGAGCAGGGATTAGGATTACAACTGTTTAGAATATGTCCAATCACATATTCTACATTGATTCACCCTTCGACATTGAATTGCAATGAATGCTGGGATAAATTGTGCCAGGAAGGAGCCACCGGTTGTAGCTTTCCTTCTCGGGAATGGAAGGCCGCATCTGCTGGAGCCTTGCAAATGGGACAGTCTAGCTGCTGTGACACAATCAGTCTTCTAGTGCAGCCTCCGAAGGATGCAGCCGCTGAATTGAGACAGCCACACGCTGCCACGCGACATATTGCACTTGTGTCTCCCTCTGAGGTTCCTGTCCACAGTTAAGGACAGTGGATGTTAAGCCCTTTGAGGCAAACTGTGATTTGTGAATATGGGCTTTACAAATAAAGTCAGGTTTGATTTATAACTCTAGTTAAGAGCTGACAAACATGTAGATCAAACATCTGGTGAAGGTGAAGCCACATGTATCTCCTGTTGTTCACATATAATAAACATTTGTCTTTTCTGTCTCGTCTCTCATCGTACAAACTCTACTGGAACGCTGAAATATAATAAAACCTCATCGGTGAGTTGTGTTCAGCAGAGTTGATGAGCTGGTTAAGCCTTGAAACACCTCAGTGCATAGATTAAAATTTTAATTATGGAAGAGGAATAAAGAATTTTCTTCAAACTCCTATAACTCCTTAATAAGTTGAGATGCAGCGCTGCCATTAATAATCACCATTATGTGGAGACAAGGACGCTGACACAGAATTATTTGCTAATGATCTTGAATTAGCTTAATTAATGGCCTCATTAACATAACTACTTATGTTCAATATATCACGGAGAAGTGCCTCTCATTTATTATGGTTCCACCTAATTATACTATATAATTTAATATTTTAAGACACGTTCGGCCGTCGCATTTTACATATGTATTTCACATTTTCAGGATGTTTGATCCCAAATATTCTGCACTTGTGTTAATCTTCACAGGGGAACGTTTAGGGAGAGTACAAAAAATATTAGGAAGGGGAGGAGAAAATATATTTCTGTGGGGATTTGGCCACAGAGCGACATCAGTTCAATGAGGTGATCGTATCCTGAGAACTCAGCTCTCACAAACAAGAAAAAATGGAGGGAATATTATTAAAATATGTAAAATTGATCTTAGCCTCACAGTGAGAAAGCTCCTGGTTCAGGTTCTGTTACGGACGCTGCTTTTCTGTGTGAAGTTTGCATGTTCTTCCTGTGTCTCTCCCACAATCCAAGACATGCAGATTGGGGTTCGGTTCATTGTACGTGTGAATATGAGTGTGAATGGTTGTTTCTCACTGTAAATTGGTCCCGATTTTTGATTGGCGACCTGTCCACTGTGAACAACCCCTCCCTCTGATCCTAAAGGTTAAGGCCCCATGATCCCACATCCGTAAATGTATCAGTGACCAACTTTCACCTCCCGCGCCCGCAAGCGAGGGGGTGAATGAAACATGCGCTTCCTGTGGCGCAGAAAATCCCAATGTGGCTTTGCGTGAACTTGAGCTGTGATATTCACTTTGTATTTGCATAAGTGTGAACTGAGTGATATAGATGTAAAATAACTTAACAAAGGAGAAAATATTAATTTACCAAAGGTAAGCCTTTAAAAGGTTAAATGCTGCGAAATAAAACCTGCCTGGTGACAAAAATATCTTGGCCAAACAAATTTAATTTGAGGCTTAGTATTTTAGCAAAATGTATACATTTTAGAGAGTAATTTTAGTTAATTTATTCAGTGTCATTTACAGAGTGTCACTTCAAAACCACCTTTTATTTATTTATCATTTTTAAAGAAGCCCAGTTCTCTGACTGAGAGGAAGTCGACCATGTACCACGAGTCGAGAAAGAGACACTTCTCTGAGACAGAGAAAGTCTCACAAAAAAAACATCTGGATCAATGGAACTACATCCACACCGTGGGGAGAAAGCTGCCATTGGCTGCTTTGGACAGAACTTTGGACTCAATGCGAGTTGGCAAAGGAGGCCTGCGGCGGAGTGGAGTCCTTCACTTTTAAAGCGAAGTCCACGCAGAGTGCCCCAGACATTTTGGTCATTCACTGAATAACGTTTTCCATTTGCAGTCGTCCTTCACAGAAATAACTGGTATTTGTCACGTTACCTTGCAATCAGACAGACGGAAATTTCCACTGCCTGAATCCAGTACACGGACTTCATCTCTACTGTGGCACTTAGACAACTCGCTTGCCGAAAAGAAAAGAAAAACAGTGTCATTTAAGCCAAATTGCAATGGATGTAGAAAGTGTGAAACATCTCTCGCAACTGTCATTCAAGAGGTGTGATAAATATGGTTCACTCTCTGTCCCTTGGAAAAATTAATATTGAAAAGTGGTTGTAGTGGTTGAAGGTTACAGGAGGAGCACAAAGTGTAAACACGTCTTCATGGCCATGCATCACCATAGAAATGGAGTGAGATTTGGTGGAAACGCAGAATGTGTCAAACCGCCCACTTTCTTTTTCCTGCACCGAAGACAAAGTGCTGAAACGTCCTTGAGTGAGAAGGTTACACAGCCAACCGTGACCTCTGACCTTCCAGTGGAGCGAGAGAGAGAGTGGGAGGTGCTGAGTGAGAAAACCCTCCCGGGCTGGTTCGCCCTCACACGAGGTGTCACAGTGATCTCATGTGGCTGCAGACAGGTACTGCAGTGTGGAGCCAAAAAGGGAAAGAAATGAAGTGGAACAGACAAAGAGAAAATAGCTTAAATTCATTTACTTAAATTAAAAAAATGTACATCACATTATCCTTTACAATAGACATGTCCTTTAAAAACTCAGTGGTTTTCCTTTTCTTCACTGTACATTTCAATAATCTGTATACAAATTCCTCTTTGACAAAAAGAAAAAAAAGTCCTTACAGTGACCGTCACGAATGACAAATTATTTACTCATCGTAATGATTCCCAGTAACACTTGGGTTTTAATTGGAAACTCACAGCCTGTACCAAATCCCATGAGCTTTGTGTCCGTCCAGAGGAAAAAGGACTGAATCCTTGAGATTCTTGATTTGTTTTGAGCTTTTACATTCACCTCATCATGTCAGGTGCACAGTAAATTTGTTCACGGACCAAAATGAGACGTTGTTTGTATGTTGAAATACTTTTGGAAAACCCTTACCTAACATTTACACACAGTTAGAGGAACTACATATTTAATACAACAGCGAGGACACCAGCTTCAATGGAGGGGACCTTGAAAAGACAACACCACTGTTTTTGACTCAGTCCCTCCCTGATTATGACGGCAGTAACCTTTCTCCATTGTTTACCAGTAGCGATACACACAGTGTGGCAGTCGTTATGTATCTGACCAGTCATGGCATTAAAGGAATATTGCAACATTTTGGAGAAGGAGCATTTCTTGCAGGGTGATTATGAAGCTACAAACAGCAGTTGGTCAGCTGAGCTCAACACAGGGTCTGAAAACAGTCAGACACAATAAGTCCAGCTGTCCAAAGGTAATAAAATCTTCAATAGACGTGAAGTGAACGAATGGAAACAGTGTTTTATGAACACCTAACAAGCTGCTGCACACAAGTCCAGTTTTTAATCTTAAAATCTTCAGAACCCACGCACTCGATGATCTGGCCACAATGTAAAGCCACACCCTTGCCGATTGAGGGACAACTATTCATTTGTGCAGACGTCACAGTAGCATCTACATCTAATTCCCAGCAAGAAAGCAAGTGATCTAATTTTCCAATATTACCAAAACTGTTTCTTTAAGTCATCTGCAGGACACTTTCCTCTATAGTGCACACATTTGATTTCCTTTTAAAAACAATACATATCAAGCTGTTGTTCTATTCGTCTTTCTCTAGAATTTTCAAAAAAGGTCGCAATGAACAAACGTAACGTCAAAAACACTAATGTTGCCATTTCAGTCCATCGTGACCATCTCTGCTCTGTGTGAAGCCTGAGAATCTGGTGTTATACTGCAACTTACACTACATCGTAACCAAGTACTGTGATGTTGGATATGACAGTTTACATGCTGTATGCGCTTTAAAATACTGCTCCTGTCGCTATGGGTTCAGTTTCCTATTGGTTGAGCAGAGATAGTCAAGTGGTGCGGAGCCAATGAGACGTTAGTTCAACAACAGTGTAGCCGTCCAGTCTTCATAACTCCAGAGTCAAAGGAATTCAAACTGGGTTCTTAAAAACAAACAAAATCATATTTACAAGCATCTGTAAACATCAGCGTAGGCAGAATATGGCAGACAGAAAATTAAAGATTTGGCAAAAGAAAAAAGACAATAAAGAAACGTGATACATTCTGTGCTTTATCTGAGTGCAGCCTCGTCAGGGTCAGCGAACCCCCGGAGAGCTGATTTTCAGAGTTAACAGATTACAAAAGGCTTCAGGTAAAAGCTTTAAGACTACGACGAGCCGTCCGATCACACAGTGAGACAGCATCCACTGATTTCATCTGCTCGGGTTTTCCACTGTTCATGGAATCAATTTGATTCCTAAACAAAAATAGACATCCATGTGTGGAAAGGCAGCCTATTAACTAACAGGCCAAATACCCATGAAAAATAAGAATAAGGTGGTTGTTTGAACTGGTCCGTTGCAGCTCTGGCAACTTCATATCCAGTCCCCTGACTATGATTAATAATAATGACGAGAGGATTTGAACAGACTTCATAAGAAACCTTGACATTTTGGATTGAGGGCAGTTCTGAAGGGCAGAGAACTGAAAATAATCTGGTGTTCTTGAGAAAGGGGGACACATCAGTGATTAGGGATTGTTAAAGTAGAAGAACGTGTTCAGTGAATGAAAAATAAAAGTCAAGGTCTCCCTTTGAACAGTGTTTTGTAAGATTTACAAGGAAACTAAAGCCTGTGCTGCTGGGCATATAGTGAATAAGTGATGGGAGTGTGGAGTCGCTACCCTACCGTCTCTCATAATAAAATCTGAAGATTAATCAAGAGCTCCAGTCTTACAACTCGTCTCACAAAACACAGTCAAGTGTCCGATGAAGTTTGGCATTATATTTCTACATATCGCACCGTTCCACAAGCACAAAGACCGGCTTTATGCTCGGGAAAGGTGTCCTATAATAAAGTGACGTTGAAATATTCAGTCTAGACATTTATCCGTATACTTCATAAAAAGTACGTTTCGAGGATCTGGAACAAAGTGGAAGAGCAACCAGATGATGACTCACTGTGGCATTACATGCAAGCAGAAACAAGAACGAATGAAAGAAAACAATTAGGCATGTCTTTGTAGCTCATAATCCTGCTTTTGGATTTTTTAAAAACAGCTCATCTAACCTCGGGGAGCCTCACCAGCTGGCATCTACTGTAAGTGAGAACTACCAATCAGAAGAAGTTGACTTTCACAAATATTTCTGCTCTTGTGTCGGATTAAATTGATATTTGAGGCCTGGATTTTATGGCTCGGGTTTGAAGGTCGTCTGACTCAGAGAAACACCCTCACTGTGGTCGACATCAATCCTGCGTTAATACAGAGTGCTCAGGCTGCGTTCTGAGTTGCCCCGGCCAGCGGCCGGCTACCACCTGCGCCGACTCAAATAGAAAAACAGAAACACAAGAGGACGTAAATGGCAGCTTTGGATCTATCTGCCAACACTGACATTGGATTTGAAATATATTCACTGCAACACGTGTCAGAAACTCCAGGTGACGGTCTAATAAAGTGCAGGGAGAACACCATTGAGGGAAAATAAGAAAATCTCAGTATACATGTACAGATTGTGCCTTGAAAACAGAAGCTGAGACATGGGAGGCTGTGTCCTCCACTGTGCCTCTAAATGGCAGTCAGTGTTGTGCTCACATCTCCAGGACCAACAGCTACGAAAAGACAGAGACATTTCAAAATAAAGGCATTTGTTGAGAAAAAAAAACCTCGCTGTACATTTCACATATGCACACTTACAAACACAGAAGCGGATACTGAAAGCAGCGCGTTTTCTGTTTGTTTTCGGAAGCTGCCGTCACGTGTCTAAAAATGAAAGGGGAAATCCAGGAGTTAGACAGCAGCAGTGTCAACGAACAGAAAGGCTCCCTGTCAGTCAATCAGTGATCTGACGCTCTCACAGCTGACGCACATTTAAACACACAAAATCACTGAGCACTCACACTTGTGCACTCCTTCAGTTTTGTTGGGCGATGCCAAGAGGCACCAATCAGCCAGTTTAACGTCAAAATATATATAGTGGTTGTTTTTACACTGATGTATGAGGCTAGACTTACAGATATACAAAAACTGGCAGTTGAAGTTCCTTTTATTCGTCACATCTGCCAAGGTCGTCATGTTTTTGTTTGTCAGTTTGTCAGATTATGCAAAATGCATTTCCACAAAACTTGGTGGAAGGACCCAATACATTTATCATTTAATAACCATAAAATAATTAATTCATCTTGAGGAAAAATATCAGGCATATCTAGGTGTGTGTGTAATTTGGTGCTGCTTGATTGAATTTAAAGGGGACTGTTGGGCCTTGGCAGAGGGATGCGCTCTACTTATACTAGTTTTAGGATTTTTACAGCCAGGTGGAGAACTTTTTGAAATCTTCCTACTATAGCGAACCACTGACAGTGACATTAACCCACCCCCAAAATACACACACACACACACACGTGCATACACACAAGTAAGTCAGACACCAGTCACCAGTTGGTCAGTCAGGTGGGAGAGGAGAACCAGCCCCCTCACCAGCCATCTGCTGATTGATAAAAACCACACTTTAGCCCCTCACCCTGGAAAATATGATCCATTGTCCCACACACCCACAAAGTATGTCCAAATCCCGTCTACACCCCCATATTCCCTCAGACGTGGCCTGGACAGAGAAGCCGCCTATCAAAGCCAACTGACGGCCACCAATGAGGAAGCTGGTGCACGTCACAAGAGGAGCAGGCTCTCGCAGAGCAGAGGGGTGTGGTGTTTGAAAGTATCTGCCATTCCAGAACAAACTCAGGAGGCTCTCTGCCTCAGACTGAAGCCCCAGTGCAGAGACGTGCTGCAGGGATGGAGTCTGTCTAGAGCTCTGCACTGGCTGGTGGTTTGGTGGTGGTCATGATCTTCATGTACTGTGTGAAGATGGCCTCGAAAGCCTCGTCTCTGTGGATCATGGCACCAAACACCAACGGCTGGAAACAGAGATGCTGAGTCATTAAACATATGTACAGATTATATGTTATGGCTGCACTGAGCAAATCAAAACGGCCACCATAAAATAAAATTAAAAAAAGAACATGTGTAAACTGTATTTACTGAACATGTAGTCACATTTCTGAAGTCTGCAGGATTTCTACACTGACCTCGTGTTTCCACTAGGAGCTGCTAATTCAGGTATTCAGTCTAGATAACTGAAAACCTGATCAAACACATTTTAAATTCATATACATGGAAACATACATGTTGTTACATGTTGTGTTAGATCTGATCTACTGTCTAAGTCCGGTCAATTATTGAATGAAGGAAAGCACAACAGGTCACTTTTGTAAAACTTAATATAAATAATAATAATCAAAACAACATCAGATTAGTGCTGAAGAGTCACCTTCTGGGTGGAAGGAGTTGCTATGGAGATGCCCATCCCACTTCCTGGCAGGACCGACAGTACTTTGTACTGATGAGATTAAGTTAAAAACACAAAGAAGAGTATTTAATGGCACAGACTCTCCCAGTGAATCACTCGGCAGGTAAATAACCTAATGCTAGAAATGTATCACATTCACCAATGATCAAGTGAGATCAATAGTGACAGTTAAAGGATGCAATGAAGTCTACTGTTGTGAATTAAGCTAATTAATAACAAACTGTACAATAAAAAAATACATTTATACATCTCTTCACAAAAAAATGTATCAATCAACATAACAAAGTAATTAATCATTAGGTATTATACTGGCTAATAAAATGAGGAATTATTTACCAAAAAAATCCTGTTATAATATTTAAATAATTAATGCATATGTTTATATTACAAATGCTATTCAAATTCTTTATTATCATTTCCATGACACTTGTATGTTTAGCTGCATTTGCAATAGTTAACCTACCTGAAACACTTTTTAAATTAGAAATTAAATATGATTAAGAGTGATTACCTTTTGTATGTCCGTGATGTCCACCAGCTTTATAACTTTATTCTTTTTAGAGGCGCTGGATCTGGAGCTGGAGCTCTCAAAGCACAGGTAACTGTGAGGGAGAGAGGGATGGAGAGAATGACTAGTTGAAAGGAGCTCTTTGAAAAAACCAGCAGGGCAGCAAAACAGACAACAACCTTAATGGACTACTTGTCAGTTCAATATCCGAAGAGGTGAAGAGATTTAAAGATCAGACATATTCTCAGGAGGAGGCCTGTTCTCCTTGATACACTGTTATCTGAACGATTGACACATGCACACAGGGAGGGAGAGAGAGAGAGAGGATGTGGTGAATCACTATAAAGAACGTAACACCACATCCTGCGCTCAAGTGATTCCTCGTCTCTGCTCCCTCTTTTGAAGTGACTTCTTTTTCTCTGTTGCATTTCACGATAAAAGATGCTCTCATGAGAGACGATGCCCCACTTACTTCTCTGTGACGTAAAGCACTCCGTTCCTGATGTAGTCTGTAGGCATCTTCCTGTCTCGGTTAATCAGGCAACACCTCCAGCCGTTCTCACACACTGAGAACACACGGAAGAGAGAAAATTGAGAATTTTGTTTGTACAAAAAACATTTTGAGAACTTCTGTTTTTCCTCTCAAATCTTTCAGAGCCATGCTTAAGAAAACAGATGCACGGATTTTTGTTATTATTGCTTTTTAAATTTTGCAGTAAGGTCTCTCACCAGCCAGAGGGCGCTCTGACTCTGACAGGTTGAAAATCTCATGAAAGGCTCCCTTCTTGGTGCTGTGGGAGCGACCAGTCTCCTCCTCTCTGCTCACCCCACATGGGACAGTGGCAAGGCTGCTGCGAGACACTACCGGCTGGACCTGGAGAGACAGTGGCACACAATAGAGAGGGAAGGCGGGAAAGGAGGGAGGGGTGACAGAGAACCAAGGGTGGGGGGGAAACACACAGGATGATGGGAAGTGAGAGAAATGGCCACGGGGGAGGAGAGATAGATATTGTGATGGAGAGGGAAGAAGGGGGAAGAACAGGGAGAAAGATTTAGAATCAACCATCGCTTTAAGCTATGTGGAAACCATCCACTGGGACTGCACGTTTCCAGATCTGTTGGGACAAGTGGCCAAGCTTGAATCAGTTCAGCTTGTGATGCCGCATCATGTGCTTCTCTGCATGTGCACTTGTTTGCAGCAGGTGTGACATGCAAAGCACAGAGTGAGGCCATCATTCATTCATTATACAAACACTGTCTGTAAAGAAAACGAGTCAAATATGTGAAAATTAAAGCAACACTTTGCAACTTTTACTGAGCAACAGCGCCCTCTGCAGCCACACATGCAGATGAATTCAGTTAGGCAGAGCTCAGACTGCGTCCCACTCACTGAACTGAAACACCTGAACGCTGAATGTTACCCATGATCCCCGGCTTCCTGAACCAGAACAGCTGCTGCTGTATGTCAACACCAAACTCTGTTTAGAATTTCTCTAATATTTTAAGTAAAGTCTCGGCACTGAATATTAGAGACAAACACTCTTTTTTCAAGTCTTTTGAACTCATCTACAGTTCAGCATTACTCACTTGTCAGGTCTGATTCTGGAAATTGAACCTGCGACTATCTCGCAGGGGATCGTACCACTCACCCAAAGTTAAATGGAGCAAGAACAGATGTTAAGAGTGAGGAGCAGGAATGAAAAGTAAATAAGTTCCAAAGTGTTGCTTTAAATTTACATATGAATGTGTTTGTATGTCTAACTTCTCCTAAAAATATCCTGCTTAATGTATTGATGACTAACACTCTGGATCTGGTTTACATTATAAGAGGTTACAGGTAATCAACTGACATTTCAGTTCAAAATGCATTTGCATTAAAGGGTAATTACATAACTACATACAGCGGGGAACAGCAAGGACTAAATGAGCTAATATGAAATTACAGCGGACAAGGAGCTATTCTACGTGCATGTAAACTACTCGGTAAACACACTGTTATTTCTCACAGAGCATCTATGTCAATGGATCAAAAATGTCAGTTATCATAGAAACGTTTATATATGGACAAAAATAGACCACTGGGATTTTTATGAGTTACAATTTAAAATCTATTATTAAATTGTAGGTTACAGGCTTTAATGAGATTTTGATCCATTCTGTTTGCGATCACCGACGCCCAGTACCAAGGTGTGTCAGGCATCTCACACGCGTGCACGCGCACACACACACACACACACACACACACACGCTTAGAGGTGAGCTGGCAGCACACCCAGGCACTGAACACACACCAGAGTCCCTACCTTCTCAATGCCAGAGAGCTGAGAGACAGAAACGACAGAGTAGACCTGTGACTGAAGCCACAGTAAAGACACACAAATGCTCACACACTCAAACTGACACATGCAGACACTGAGTGGTGTCCGCACATAAAGAGCACGGCCAATAAGTTGGTGCAATGTCTTATTGGTAGGACTCGTTATGTTTCCATACTTCTCTCAAACATGAAACATTTACGAAACATTTTCCCTGATCTGCAGCTAAAAGATGAGCTCATATAATATTCTGCCACCAGAGCATGACATATCATTTGTACATCAATCTGTGTTAAATTAAATTATACACATTAAGTTGCGTTTTTTAACATTTTATTACAATAAGCTTCTTTGCTTAATTGCCTCGATGTCGTTTGCAGTCATGAGCCAAATTCAGAGATTTATGGCTATTGTGTTCACTCAGCTTGCCTCACAATAGTAGTTTCTGAAAGTTCTGTGACACAAATGCAAACCCTCTAAAGACTCAAGTGTTTTAACTTCATATTTTTAGGTTAGCGACACAGAAAACTCAAGCTGAAGGGGAGCAGAAATAATCCCCCAAGTATTTTGATCATATATTATCTTAGACAGGATTCAGACCGTGTGTGTGTGAGAGAGAGAGAGAGAGAGAGAGAGATAGTTTAGAAACACAAAGCCCTGTGAGAGGACTGAAGGGAAGGAGGTGATAAAGATGTGTTTGAGTTTTTCGCCCTCTTACCCGCCGTGACACAGTGGCGTTGGTCCTCTCTTTTAGCTGGGGGTCGGTGGGGAGGCTGTTCCACACGATGTGAGGCGTGTCGTACTTGTCCCGCAGCTTCGGACAGCTCTTAAAGAGGAAGTCTATGATGAAGAACTTGATGCCGGCATACAAGCCTGGAGAGAGAAAACAGAAAAAAATAGGGAAGAGGATGGAAAAAAGTGTTGCTATGGAAACAGAGGTGATCAACTCAATCTTGTATAGTGATGCTGGTAAAAAGATAAGTCACGTCCTCCTTTCAGAGTCCTCAAATAAACTTTGAGACTTTACATTTTCCAGTTCATTTCAAACCTTTGTGCCACTCAAGGTGCTGCTTTTTGTGTCTTTCACATCATTTAATTTCATGGTCAAAATTCTTTTACATCATTTACTTATCAATATCTTGCACATTTCAGTATTTTTATCGGAGCTGAACCTTTCATTTATATTCAAGTGTTAAGGACTAAAGAGCAGTTTTGAATAATAAAAGCCTTGAATCATACTGTAGATATTTCAACACAACAGGGAGAAAATGGGTTATGAATATACATATGGAGTCAGCCCTTTTTAAACTAACTTGAAAACCCCAATAATAAACATTGATAATTAGCACACAGCAAATATATTGAATGTAGTCACCAATAGTTGCCTGATTATCAGACTGAACTGCCATTTTGTTCAATTGCAGTCTTCCTACTGTACTCATGTCAGTCAATTTGTTGATTAAAACTTGTGATTAAAACTTCATGTTGTTTTTTTTCCCATCATTTTGCATCTATGTCATTTTAGTGAACATTTACGCTGCAGTTGCCTCCATTAGCGTCCACTGATCAATGACAAATGAGTTTCCATTCACTGTCATGCTACAACTACATGGACAGCTGCATCGATGTCATCCACACTTGTCCTCATTGTACTGATCTATTTTTATTTATTATAGCTAGTTAACAATGCATGCAAATGACGTCCCTGTGCGTAACTCCACCTACTAAGCTCTGATTGGTGAATCAATTTAAGATTGTAAATATCCTTTCATCATTTTAGCGTTAACACCTTTAAAGAAATACGAACTCGCAGCACGTCAGAGACCAGATGAAGAAATAGCTGAAACTAACACAGTCAGAGAAATGCCTACACCCTGCAGCTGCCCCTCACAGGCACAGAGAGGGTGGTTACACAAGTGCTGTATGAATGTATTTGTTTGTGTGCGTTGGATTGAGAAAAAGTATTTGCTTTCATTCAGAGCCAAATGCAGTAAACATACAGTATGTGACACAGATAAAGAGGCTTTGCGTGTGTGCATGTATAGAGCATTCAGAAGGTATTCAGACATTTTGTTATGTTTCAGTTTGATGCTAAAATCATTTAAATAAATGTTTTCCTCATCACTCTACACTCGATTGATCCTGGTGCACTGAGTGGCAATGATTTTAGCATAAAGCTGAAGCTGGACAAAATGTTAAAAAGCAAAAGGGTTCTGAATTGTTAATAACTACTTTCTCTCACCAATCATGAAGCCCATCAGTTTGTATGGCAGGACGCAGGAGGTGATGAAAGCCATCCACAGGCAGATGTAAAGTTTTCTGGTGCTCTCTGGCTGCACCCACATGAACAGGCTGACGGGCAAATGCAACGATCACACACGAAAGAGAAGAGAAACACAATCTAAATCAATATTTGAGTTATTTAGTTACGCTGCTTACAATGCAGATCTTTTTTTTTAAACTTACTTCTTTATCTTCTCCAAAACATCGGCCATCTTACCAAAAAGGTTCTGCAAAGAGATTTGAATCACTGTGTGAACCAATACAAGTTTCATTATCTGTGTTTTTAATCCAGCAGGAATCGTGATGCGGGTTGTACCTGTGCTTTTTGTGCAACGTCAAGTACAAGCTGGAACTTTTCAGACACTGTCAAGTCTTCCTTTGGAGGCTCCTGCATAAATGATGAAAGACACGTTGACCGCTGCTGCTGGACAGATTTGTGTTTCTGACAGACAGGAAGCTGTTGTCTTACCGTGGGTTCAGACACCTCAGGCACTATGCTCCACTGGATCCTCCAACCTCTGGAAAATTGGAAGAAAATGTGAATTCTGTAGATTTAAGATTTTTGTGTGTATAAAACTAGACCACCGAACTTCGACCACTGAATTTTGTGTTTTCAAGATCTTTAAAACCACCAGTGTGATTAATTGCCTTCATTTCGTCTTAATACCGGAAATAAAATAGACTTTAAATGATTTGATTGTGTTTGCAGCTGTAAATGAAGGCTGGTGTTTAGCTTGTTATAATGTATTTGTCTTCTGTGGTGCTTTATTATGATCATAAACACAGGCGTGTGTGCAGGTCTTAAAAATCTTTCATTATAACTATGTTTACTGTGTGTCCACAGAGAGCATCTTTTCACCAGTAAGCCAGGAGTAGCCTCGGATATTAAGTTAAATACGGTATTAGACAAAATGTACAGCTAAAAAACAAGACATCCGTGTGGTAACCATATATTAAAATCTCTCTCTACTAGAGCTGCCCCTTGAATAGATGGGAAATGTTCTTACCTGGCGATGAGGTAATTTAAGGACAAGCGCAGGATAGCCAGGAAGAGGAGCATGGGGATGGCCCAACCATGCCATGCAGCATTCATATAGATCTGCAGACACAAGGAAGTACAGCTCAGTGTACAGCAGTTTATCATTCGGTGCAGTGACCATGGGAGATTCATTAACTTGAATTATTTCAGCCAAAAATGACGTTGAATTGCTAAAACAACTTATTGTACTTTCTGTATTCTTGTAGAGGCCTTACATTAAAGTAAAAAGATCTCACTCTTACATCATTTAAGTATATTTTTAGGTACTAGCTGTATTTGACGGACATGTGCATAAGAAAACTGTGTGGTTTGACAGGGAGAATCTAGAGATGGTCTGTAATGACGATTTGGGAGGATCACTCTCACACAAGCATTTTGATGTGATGCTATAAGTCAAATGTGAACACAAGATCACCAGATATAGAGAAAGACTTCCTGTGTATGGCCACAATATGTGGGTTGAACTATCTGATTAAACTTTGCAGTGTTTGGTTGAGCAAGAACTATTCCACCATTGATTTCCCTACACAGATATAACATTTTGAGCTGCTGGCTATAGATATATATATAGACCTCCCTTTTTTCTCTCAATCAAATGATGTCATATAAATGATTACAAATACAGTTTTATTTGCATAGCACTTTTCTAACTATAAGTCTAAGTGCATCAAAAAAGGATAACCAAAACAACAAACATAAATTAAGTAGAATCAGGAGTTAGAAAAGTGTACACTCACAATGAAGGCAATAGCTGAGGTGTAGACAGAGTGCCAGTTAGATAAGGCGGAGAGGTTCCTTAAGAAGTTGGTGACAGGTCTGGCTCCTCGCTCTGAAACAACGATAGAGGAATCTTTAGTTGGATTTATGTCATAAAAACACTCTTTACTTTAGAATTGATTTCAAAGCATAAAAAATTGAAAGATTGTTTTTTCGAAGTCAAGTAAATTTTTACTCCTAAATTTCACTTCATGTTAGTCTTGATGTTAGTTGGTGAATCATGGAATGTTCCTGCCGAGGTAAATTTCAGTTGTTGATACATAAATTCCAAACATCTACATATTGATACCAAAAGCAAAGTTAGTGCTCTTATAGTTTTATGTGTATGTGGGGTTTCTGGAATACTCACTGAGTCGTCTCATATTTTCTGTCAACCTGCATGGAAAACACAAAACATGAAGGACAGAACACACACAAGTAGGTGCTTGTGTTCAAACAAAGGTGCACACAAAGAGAACTGCTTTCACTGTGAGAGGAGGTGGTCACAATTTGGCCTTCATGAGTCTGGCATGACGCATTCATCTTTAATAGAAGAGTGAACAGAGAAAACAGTCTGTGATTTCACGTCGTCTCGTCCTGTTAGATAAAAGCTGATCGGAACTAATCAAATGGAGCCATCAACAGACTGCAACTGGAGATGTTAGTACCTTTTAAAAAGGTATATATGGCTGGGATATATTATTATTGGAAGTGCAAGGTGAGAAATTAATATCTTAGATGACTGTTGGGCTGAACTCTGCACCCTCTCTCCACGTCTCATTGAACAAGCAGATGTTGCAACTCAGAGCAGACACTTCATGTACCTTACTGAAGAAGCCCTTCACTCACCTTTTTGCACTTAGTGGTTCCTCTGTCTCCACAGTGCTCTCCTCTGGCTGGAAGCGGAAGTCTTCGATGTAAACCCCGAAGCGCTCGTACAGCCACTTCTGCAGCCGTGAACTCCACACCTCCTTCTGCTGTTTCTCTGCTAAAGATTGAAGTTAATGTAAGTTTTTGTTGATGCCTGCAACTCCACAAAAAAAGTACAGTGATGTAAATAATAATAAATAATGAAGGAAAAACATCCTGTGTAGCAAAATCAACTGTTTCACAGCCTTCACTCCGATAAATGTACATTTAAAAAACGTACCCAAGACTCTTACAGACATTGAACTGACAAGAAAAAAACCTAAGGAGGCATTAAGACTTCAAGACCTGCAGGTTTGTTTTATGTGGGGAACTTGCATTAGCTATACCTCACATTTACTTATTTACTTAACATCCCTACATCGTGAAGTGAAGCATGCAGTTTGATATAATGCTCACTAAAGCATAGATCTAACCACTTGTTCAAGCATGTTTGTCTATAGTAAACTTTTTCAAACCATCTAAAGGTTATGTTAGAACAAAAAACATCTTAATTACATTTTCATTCACAATATGGTCCTATAACAGCAGGGCGTACTCGCTATCCCATCCAAACCACAAACTGCTTAATTTCTGCGTCTTCTACAGCAACGTTAAAACCTTTTTTTGTACTAGCAAGCATGAGCTGATAGGCCAGGTCAGAAGCTTGCTTTTGTTTACCTCTGTATGAAATCAAGACACATTATTTCAAATACTGCTGTGATTTTAATCTGCCAGGATTATCACTGTGAACGTCTGTGCCATGCAAGATCAAAAAGCCTGACTGGCATAGCAACAGTAACTAAGTGGGGTGAGCTTAGTATACGCAGTGTTATATAAATAATATAAATGACACCCAGTTTAAAATCAATTCAAACACATATGTAACATTAACATTTACGTTGGTTGGTCATTTGTCCACTGCACATACTGACAGGTTGTACTGAGCGGTGACCACAGGTGACTGTGAGTGAAAAAAACAAAAATAAAATCAGCCTGTGCTTGGTGACACTTTTTTGAATTATGTCATCCCGCCTCTCTCCTTTATCCAACACATGATTCCAACACTTTCTCTCTGTCCTCTAATCCACACCAACACGCCCAAACACACACACGCGCACACACGCACACTTAATCCATTCCAAAAAAACACTGATACCTACACACACTAGTCAGAGCTCAGGCATGTCTGCCCCGGATAAAGTGATCTGCAATCATAACCCATTTTCCAAAATTAGCCACTGTCTCTCCGTCCCTTTCTATCGCTGAAAAAGCACAAACACACACACACACACACACACAGACACACACACACACACAGACCACATACACTTCCTCTTATGACACTGACAATGGCAGTGCTGATCTATACTCATAACAGTAATTGGTATTGAAGCAGATCCAATGGTGTGCTTGCTCTTGTTAAAACTAAGTACATGCAGGAAATCACCCTGGAAGTGTGTTTGTCATGATGTAAACTAAGCACTATTATGCTCCCTAGATTAACCAAAGAACACTTCTGACACACTGTGTTCCTGTTCGGCACTCCCCCACACACATCCTCCATCCCCAGCTCCAGAGTGCGCACACACACACTCCTCTTTATTTACATCCCCGCTCGGAAGACGTCAAAGACTTCCTTCCCGACTCGTTTCCTCTCGGCCCTCCTGGTCTCCTGTTCGCTCACCCTCCCCTCTTACTCTTTTTCTTGAGGGCCTTACCTGTTCCATTGTTAGAGGGCGACTGCTGTTTCCGGGGAGGCTGTGGCGGAGAGTCCTCCAGCCTGAGGGGAAGGGAGAGGGAATATTTGTCAAGTCACAGTCTCACTTCTCTATAGTCAAGAGCTGCAGTCTCAACACAGACACGTCTCAGGAAGTCCACGTCAATATGTTAAGAGTTAATGGACTGGACATATCAACAACTGTCAAAAGAGTTAGAGGGACAGAGGATGAGGAGATGCTATTTCAGTCTCCTACCTTTGTAAAGTTTTTTTTTTTTTTTTGAAAAATCAGAGTAAAAGAAAGGGTCAACACCAAGATGTCGGTTGGTCCTTTGATACAATACAACCACCTTACTGCAGGTGAGAGAATTATCAGAGTCTCTTTTCAACTGTAACCCTCACTTATTTTCAGCCTGTGTGAGAGGCACTCAACAGAGCTCATATCTCTTCACATATAACTTCACATGCATCTCTCCTGACACAAAACTGAGGTTGACATAAATTAGTTCCCCAAAATCCTGAAGTCTTGAACTGGTTTCTCTCTGCTGGTAGTCACTTCGAGAGCACCAGTGGAATTTCCCCATTGGCAGCCACAGAAGCATCATCTGATCACACCCACACATCACGCACAGTTGTTGTGCACCCTGGGTTTAAGGACGGCTTGGCTGCTGTCAGGAGACACAGGTTTTTCCTGACACCAGCATTGCTACAGTGTCACAGTGTGCATTTGGAGACGCACAGCAAGCGCGTGACTCATTTCTTGTTTTTTTTTTCCACTCTATCAATCACCCCCCTCGCAACACACACACACATGCACCACCTTGTGGAATTCCCTGCTGCTGAGGCGTCTATTTATAACAGAAACCCTGGGCATCACTGGGACCAACACACGCACACAAATACACTTGACCCATGATAACCCCCCCACACACACACACACGACCCGTGATAAACCCAACTGAGATGAAATATTATGAAGTGCAATGTCATCATTTCCTGTCTTTCCCTTGTTATTACTTCCCACTTCACACATTTCAACCTCATCTCCTATCGCCCACGTCATTGCACTCAACTCCGTGTGTCTCAGTCTTCCTGTTATACCTGGACTTGAGCACCTCATTCATCTTCTGCTCCAGGTCTATCCTCTTGGTTCGCTCCTTATCCAGCTCCTGTCGCAGGGAGTCCACATTTGTCTCCTCCCGCAGCTTCCTCAACTCCTCCTCTGGGAGAAAAAAATAAAAAGACAAAAACATAAGTTTGAGAGGAAAACAATACAAGTGAAAGAGGCTCCACAAGTGTTCACATGCCAGGATGGTCAATTATGGTTAAGTACTGAAGTCAAACTCTAGTAGTCAAGGTGATTTAAAAAAATGCCTCTTATGCATCTCTCTCTTTCCATCTCTCCCTCCATCCATCCTTCCCACCTTCACCTGTCCCCCACTCTTCCTCCTCGTCAATCAGCTCCTAGCATTAAGTGGTATCAGGTATCGGGGCTTTGTAAGGCCGGGGTGCAACATCAGCAGCGTTTCCTCTCAGTCTATTGTCCCTGACTAAAGGGACACATGAATATTGGAGGAGGGGGGAGGCAATAAAAGTGGCCACACAAATAAATGAATACCTGAGTTTATTGAGGGGATTATAACCTTAGGCACAAAAACAAGAACAGAGAGGAGTGTATAGAAAATACACTTACTTAATTATTTCTTTAAAAACGTCATACTGAGGATTTGTCAGAACATTAAGCAACGGAACACTATGACATCAATATCTCTCCCAACTAAAAGACAAGACACATAAAAACAAAGATTGTGCATCCCCTGCTAATGGAAATACATATCACGTTGTCCTCCCTTTCTCTTTTCCTGAGATCACTTCATCTCACACACAGTAGGGGATTTGTTTTAAAAGAACTTTGCTGTCAGATTCTCTTTCTTTCTTACTCATCACCTAATCTAATATCTCACCCTCATCTTGTGTCACCTCCCATTAATGCTAATGAAACATTCATTGCCAGCACCTCCTGCAGCTACAGCGTCGGCCACATCACTGGGTGTTCGAACCGAGAGGGGACACATACTGTATCCTCTCTTCCTCATTAAATAAAGTGCACCTGATAAGTACGTTCTTCATTTGTAGTTTTCCTTCCTCTGTGTAATATGAAAATTTCCACTTCTCAAACAATCCTCTGTTGCTCAATTTGTCTCCCTCTCACAAACTCCTGACAAAGTGTGTAAGGTGCAGTATTAATGTTCGAAAACAAGAAAGTGTGTGTGTGTGTGTGTGTGTATGTGTGCCCGTGTGTACGTAAGAGACACAGAAAGCAAGAGGTTGGCCAAAGGTTGCTATGGGCTAAGCAGCTTAGCGCTGGCTACCCTGTGCCAGGAGATTCACAGCCAACTGTATACCTTTTAGTCAAATGGGTAACCACAGCAACAGTGCACCATGGGTTGTGTAGATAAAACAGGATCAGAAGTTCACAATACAAATATTTACAGCAACATCACAGTTACACTGTTTACATTTTATCTGGTTAGTTTTGGTTTCACATTGTAATTCAGGGAGCCCACTAAAGAATATTGTAATAAATATGTTTGTACTGTTATCACCTAAATGGGCTGCATCTAACTATGCTTGACATTGTTTGGTTTGTCGACTGGTGTGCCTCTGATGCTGACGTGTTGTCAGTTCAGCAGGTAGTCGTCTTTCCATTTAAAGGAGAAAATGACTGAATTGGTTCATTTTCATTGCCACTGTAATATCATTATGGTATCAATACCAGTATCACCAACTTCAGGTGCAGTACTCCACACTAGTTCAAATGAATGTCCTCGAGTCATTGTATTGTCTGAGGTAAATTCGGGAACATATTCTATAAGCCACTTCTGCTTCTTTTTCTTCCTCTATCGTTAAATTGTTTCTCAACTTCCTGCATTAATCTGAAATCTGAAAAAAGTGTTTTCACATTGCAAAAGAATGAAAACATGGTTCAATTTGATCTGGACAGAGACCACCTCTTTTAATTGGACCAAATTTTGGTCTCTTGGTCTGGACCTTGCTTTAAGACACCTTCCACACCTGTTGACCTGGTTCAGGATAAACTGAAAAGTCCAAAGGTCCAGAACAAACAAGTCATTAAAATAACTTGTTGCATCGATGGATTATGGCTTAAAATTAATATGGTGAACATGTTTGTAAAAAAATGCGGACGTATTAAATTAAACTTAAGCTTCCACCAGCTCCTGAGGGCAACATCTGAAGAGCACAATTTAATACCTTCACATCGTTGCTGATGTGGTTTAGATGAAAAGAGATTCAGTTCTCTATTTTGTTGTAAATCTAATTTATGATTTACAATAATATATTTGTTTATTCATTCATAATGCTGCTCTCTAATGGCTATACTGTAGTCATACTCTGTTATCCATACCAGATCCTATCCATTCTTTTACCCTCTTTAACCCACACAGTAACTCCCTTCCTTTTCCATGTGTTATCAGTTCCATCATTCCCTGTATAGGATCCTCTACAACTCCTTTGGCCTTTTTCCAGCCTCTTCCTCTTCCCAGCGCCCTCCTTCCGTCCTTTCACACTAAGTATAGCTGTGTTCCAATTCAGGGGCTGCAACCTTTGTCGGCTGCATTCGTAGACTGATTGCATCACAGCGGTGCGACTAGGCTGTCCCAATATGAAGGCTCCTCCAAATGTATCCTTCCAGCCCTGAGCAATGAAGGCTCCACTGGGTGGATCCTTCCAGGCCCAACATATCCCATGATTCATTGCGCTTCAGTGACAAACTGTTTTTCAAAGAGGTAATGGCGGCAAAAAGCGAGGCAAATTTATGTTTAAATGTAAGTACTCTACAGAAGAGCTAACGGTACACATGTTAAAAAACATGTTTACAAATTTCTTTTATTCATCTTAAGAAAATTTTCATCCGTAGCTTTGTTGCTAGGCGACGGCTGTAACGGCAGGACAAACTGGTGATGCAATAGGTAGACCAGACCTTCTCATCTCGGTTTGGCCAACGCAGTTTAGGCGGTCGTTGAAGGATGCAGCCGGCATTGGTTGCATAGACCGGGTCCTCCGCAGGATGCAGCTGCTGAATTGAGACACAGCTTATATCATACCTAACACCAGAAAAAGACATGCCTCATTCCAAGCACCCATAATACTGTATTAGGTGTGGGGCTCAGTCTGTGTGATGCAGCATAGCACAATATGCTATGTGGGACAGACAGAGTACAATCGTTTTTCTGTTCCACAGAGGCCCTCTACATCAGATAGACTATTAATAATTCTGTCAACATGCCCGCACTGCTTCTAAAATTAATCTGTCTTCCATATACAGTGTTTTTGGAAAGTACAGAACCCTTTACTTTTTTACACACTTTATTGTGTTGTATATTGGATTTTAAAGAGGAATAAATTGCTATAATTTGCAGTGAAAACATGTGCATCCACGTACTCAACCCACAGCTATCAAATTTAGCTCTGGTTCCTCTCTTGATCGTGTTTGAGATGCTTCTACATCGTGACTGGAGTCACAGATACAGACCCGGTCTCTCAGCTGGCAATGCATCAGCTGCAGGCAGAGCTCAGACAGTGTCTATGTTCTTAAAAGCACAGATCTGCAAAATGCAACTGCCCGTAAATTTCATTCTTCAATGTAGACAAGGCCTACATCAGGAATATTTCTTCAGAATGCAATTCTCCGGTCCATAAAATCTAAACACAAAGGGTGGTGATAAAGGTTAAATATTGCAACATCTGATGTTACAGTTAGTCTGACAAGTGGTGATCATGTCATCATATCTGACCTGTTGTTATCTTTCAGATATACAATGCAAAACCATGTAATCTACAATGTCTACTGTTCCCTTCGATGTAATCTATGAGATCACGCTGTTAGATATTTGCTTATCAAATACAGAGAGATAAAACAGATGTGTATTTAAAACTGCTTATGCAAGAGTAAAGCACAATGTTGCGGTCATAGATTGTTCTATGTGTCCTAAGGTGTAAATGTTTCTTTCCAGGGGGTAGGGATGGATGTAATTAGCAATATTGGCTATAATATCAACCTAGTCTAAATACACTGTACCTAGTAAACCTTCATTTTCATATCAACGATACTGAATACTAGTAATTGGACCATTTATCTGTAACACAAGATACAATAAATACCATGCCAGTCACTTTTAATAGCACTGACCTTCTCTCTCCTGCAGTCTTGGCATGTAACTGCTATCTCTGAGAAAAACTAAATTCAAAACAGCAAGCGTTCTCGAGCAGCAAAAAATACTGGTGTGGAGGATACGTAATTCCAATCTTAGAATGTGACAAGGCCAAGGGGTCTTGGTAAGTTTTGGTAATGCAGTTGATTTACTAAGTAAGAAGTCAAAAGAGGCCAAGCAGTGCTGAAGATTATGTTGGGTAAAATAAACTCAATATTGTCATGTGCTGAAGTGAAATTTGTCTGAATAAATGTGGCAATAATATGAGAACAAATCTCTGCACCTTCTGGTATCGGTATTAAACATATCTTTCTGGACTTCCTAACTACTGGTGCAACTGGGTTTTGGCTTATATTCGGCCAGGAGCCATCTGATGCTAACGTACCCTCTCATTTTATCCACTCTGGTTGTGGGGCCATGTTGGATTATAAACAACCTAGGTTAAAACTGAGGAAATTCAAATTATGAAAAACTCAGTTTTAGGTTTAGGTTAACCACTTGTTGAGATTGATAATGTCTTTCCAGTAAAGACAGGGTTATTGAATTATTGCTGTGGACTTTGATCAACCATGTGATTGATCAAACAAAACTGAAGTCTACAGTACCTGCTGACATGAGGCTTGTTTGATTGATTCAATCAAGATAAGGTTAGTTTGAAACAGTGCAATGTTACCTAATAAGTTACCTTATTCAAGATTACAAGCTTACGATGAATTCCTGATGCTGAAGCTGATGAAACTTACTGAGGTTGAGGTTACTTTTATGGCTTTTAATCTTATCGACGGCTCCGCTGTACAGAAGCTCGAAGCTGTCAAAGGTGAAATCCTCCATTTTGCATAAATCCATTCGTCTCTGCAGTCGACCTGCCCCTGGGAAGCTCAAACAAGATCTGGACGGCAGAGTGGCTGCCTTGGTCCTCTCTTGAAATTGAGCCACGGCTGCAGGTTCTCCAGGTCTGACCCAGCTTGTATTGCACCGTCTGCTTCCT